TGGGCTAGTGGAAGGTGTCCCTGCCCATGGCAGGGGGTGGGACTGGGTGAGCTTTAAGGTCCCTTCCAGCCCAACCATTCCATGATTCTATGATATAAAAAACACCTTTCTATTTAAGAACTTCCTTCAGCTTCACACACAATTATCAAAGAAACACCAACCTAATTAAAAAGATGGGCTTTATTACACATTTGAGGAAAAGATTTAATCTATTAGGAACTGCACTGGACAAAATTGTTCTTTTGTGCTTCAGATTGATTAGATATATTTAAAGTTTATTATATAACCACCTACATATTAATAAAATCAGTATTAGCTTAAAAAAAGTTAAGTCTTCTAAAATATCTTACAGCTGTGCTCCTAAAATCCAGCACACACCACCAGCAGAGACTACCCAAATTACTGCCCAACTTTCAGTCTAACTCCTGCACTGAGCTGCAAAACAGCTTTTATCACAACAGCGTGGCTTTTTCCATGAATGTTAGAATCTTCCTTTTTAAGGGGAATTTTGGGAAAGCTGCGTGGAAAAAAATATGCCCGTTTCAGTTTTAACCAGGATTCTCAGACACAAAGGGCGATGCTGCCAAGACAAATGGTGCAGGAGGTTCCAGGACTGGTTCTAAAGCAAACACTCTGCAGGGTCTGGGTCCCGGTGAAACGCTCCAGCGGCGCCGCTGCCACCGCACAAAGGAGTTGGAAAAGCGCTGACAGAAACAGCAAGAGAGGCTGAACTGGTACAATGAGCTCCCTGATCTGATGGGCACTGAACACGCTGAAAGAAATAATGCCTTTGCCACCATGTCAACAAGCTGATCCCACTCCATGAGCTCATGGTCACCGGGCTGAGCCCCAGGGAAAGGGATGGACCACACGCTGCTCAGGGGCGGCCCCAGGGACTCTGAACCACAGGAATCTCCACTCCCGACCATCCCAGAGCCTCCCAGCCCCTTCCCAGGTCAGCAGACTGCTCCAGGTCAGCCACGGGAAGAGAAGAAGGATCAATGTCTGTGGACACCTGGTAAGGAGATCCTGACTTTAGAAGTGAGAACAGGAACATTCTTCCCATCACCAACTCCACCAAGCACTCTGGAATTCTCCCCACGGGAATTCCTCCCCATCCTGCTCTGAGGACAGAGCCAGACCAGCCCCAGCTGGCTGAAGAAAGCCCTTCCCAAGCTGACCCATCCCCTTTTTCAGGGTTAGTTGCAGAATGGAATGAGAATTCTCGTTTCGTTTCACTGCAGTTGGCAAATAATCAGCTCTTCCCCGACAGTTAAACCCATTTCCCAGAATTAAAATGGAAAGGGTGGAATGCAGCTCAGATAACAACTGACCAGGAAAACGTTGTCAGGAAAGCTCCCTCAAATTCAGGCTCCTCCTTATCAATAGGATCATACAGAAATAGCAGACAGCTTATACACAGTGCAGGGAAATTTGTTGTTATTGGTAGAAATAATGTTGGTTTTGGCCAGCACTGAAGCCAAAAAAGGTGATATTATCAATTTACTGGGTTGCCACTGCACCTGCAATTTCATGTGTATTAAATTACACCAAAAAAGAGGTTGTTCTTGTTAATTCTGCACCCCCACATTCTGCTTGAAAGGATAAATGATGAGCAAAGGTTGTAACCTCAGACTCTGCTCAGCCTCTATGGGAACATCTTAATTACCTTTTGTTTCAGATGTGCCTTCTGGCCTAAATTATGTGCATAATTAAGACTAGCAATAACCATCTGTTTGCCAGTGATTCTAAACCAAAAAGATTATAGAAATAAAGGATCGTTTAGATTCACGTATATTTAGATGTAGTTGGACTTATAGTAAGAAAAAAGAAAAACTGGAGGGGAAAAAAGGAAAAAGGAAGTCCCCAGGAGTTTAACTTTGTTCCGCATCCAGACTCTGAATTCCTTTTATTTTAATATCAGAATCAAACTGAGTTGCCCCTGAGCTATTTACACTCTGTGGCACAGTTGCCCTCTAAGTTTGAGATTGGAATCCAAAGGTTTTGGCAAGGGAGCATTAGAAAATCTGAGAATTAAACATTCAGGAATGTGACCTACCTTGGGCAAAAGATGCTTCTGTTGCAAAGTGAAAACTCTTCCTCCCCTTTGGCAGGTGGAAGGAAATTTCTGAGATAAGGATAAACACTCTGCTTCCCTCATTTCAACCCCTGGGTTTCTCCTCTTTCCTGGCGCCACAGGCAGAAGTAACTGGATAATATTTACTGGGGAAGCAGCTGACAACTTATTGCACATTGTGCAGGAATAGGAGCAGGACAAAGAATTCTGCTGGAAGGCTGTGCACAACTGAGAGTCAGAGTCTTTTTTTTTAATAATGAAAGGTTGCAACCTCCAACTCAGTAAAATATTGATTTTTGTCTAAGGTCTTGGAAAACACTTCATTTAATTAAGAGAGTAATCAATGATAACCAGAGAATCCACCTTCAAAAGGCAGCTGATCTTACCAAAAAAATGCAACTCTTACCGAAGAACGAGAGAATAAACCAGTCCTCTCTTGTCCCGGAAAGTTCCAACTGTTCTCTCCTGATACTTCACATTGGCAGCTGCAAATGAAAAGACAATACTTTAAAATATGAACCTTTATTTGAAAAAACCACTTCTGAAACAGCAGCTGAGACAGGAGACTCCTCCGTTGGGTTTGGCTTAATTAAAGAAAAGGAAAAAGTTTAACTGCTGTGTAAGTTGTAACTACAACTTAACATGCCCAAAGAGGGAATTCCAGGACCGGATTCCGACGGATACACGTGTGCTGGATGGGGCCTCTGTTCTGGTAAGGAGCAGTTCCAAAATCGTGGCCACAAAGCCATTCAGATTTTTTGGTTTTTTTGTAACTAGTGGACAAAAATTAAAATTATTCAGAAACACGAGCTACAGGAAAAGCACTTTTACAGAAGGTCCAAGTGGGTTTCTATTGATCTTCAAAAGTGGTTTTTAATTTCACACTGAAATAAGCATTTTTCCCCCCAAGAAAGCAGATGAAGACCCCAAAGAGGGGTTGTTGCTTTGGGCCAACGGTGCGAAATCCAAGGGGAACAGCAATGCTCCTGAGACCCCTCTTCCCAAGCCCTATCTTTTGGACTTCCCAAGTGCTGCACAACCAGTCATTGCCTCAAAAGTAAATATAAATATGCCACAAATACGTGTTTGTCGAAACAAATACATGGAGAAAGGATCTGAAGGGCTTCATTCCTGCAGTCCTCCAGCAGGTATTCCCAGATGTCTCCTCCGGCTCTGGAACGACTGCTGGGACACAAAGTTTCACATAGAACACCCAAACCCTGCAATTCAAGTCCCAGACTGAACCCAACCGTTCCTAAAGCACACAAGCAGCCAAACTGATGGGACACCACTCCCTTGTATCCAGGAGATCTGCTCTTCCCAGTGCCTTGGACTCTCTCCCAACAGCACTCTGCCTCTGGATGTGGCTGGAAAGTCCAGCTTCTACACTATATAATCCTGCTGCTGGAAATAGTTTGCCTGTGCTTTGATGTGCCACGACTACTGATAATTTTCACCTTCTGGTCCATTAAATAAAATAAATTTCTATTTTGCATTCGCTGCATCCTTTAGTTTACGGCCTGTGACGGGGAAAATAAGAAATAAAAAGAGGAGACAATTTTAGGACTGACGCAGTAGACAGAAGTAGTTTAAGAGGTTGTGTGTTAAAAATTGTGCATTTAAAGTAGTTGTGCCTCTGGCCCAGCATTGCTGGGTGAGGGAGGGGACTGTCCTGCTCTGCTCTTCCCTGGTGCAGCCTCACCTCAAGTCCTGGGGGCAGTTTGGGGCACCACAATATAAGAAAGATCTAAAGCTTAGATCTCAGGTGCACCAAAAGAAATTCTACCATTGCACACGGTGTTCCCACTCTGGGGAATCTCACGGGTTTGCATTCAGTCAGTATTTACACAAACAGTGACCTGAGGATGCTGTGCTTTAACAGAAAGGGCCTGTGTCGATGCCAACTGTCCAAACCCTCAGCTAAACTTCAATTTACCATTTTATAAAACAGTTTCTAAAAGCAACATTTGGTTACCTGCAACAGAGCTCAACTTTGTTTGTATTTTTTTTTAAAAATCCCTCTCGACCAACAAGCCAAACACCAATTCCAGTAACTTTTCTGGGTCAATAATCAACCCCAGCCCCCAAAGGGGAATGGACACGGTTTTACTTTGAGGTACCAACTTGATCGTGCGACAAGTTCAACTTCACAGCTGCCTGCTGGTACAAAGTCACCTTTGAGGGGAATATGGAGCAAGTTTATTAAACACTAAAAAAAAGAGCTCTGGAGGCAAACTACACAACTCCAGAACGACTCTTCAGAGACAGTTTTCTGGCCACGTATTTGCTTTTCAAAAGGCAAGACACACATTTCGAGTCGCAGGAGCTGGACTGATTTTCTGTGGTTTAGGTCCAAGAGAAGAGAAAAAAAAAAAAAAAAAACAAACCTTCACAAAATCTGCAACAGGTTTTTTATTGATTTTAATGAGGTTTGGAAGAAGCCACCAAATCTCCAGAGTTTTGTCGAGGAGTTTAAAAACAGGGGGAGAAGGTTCCAATGTAAGCGTTAATAATTCCACCCGATTCCTGCCAGCAAACACCCCCCCAGCGCTCATCAGCATTCCTGCTGCAGGGCTGCTGGGCTCAGATAAGCACCTCCAGTGTTATCACTTCCTAAGGCAACAACTTGTGCCAAAAGAAGGGGAAAAAGCTGCCTGTAAAAAGAAATGTCGCTGTGAGTTGTACTGTCCTCTCCCAAACGCTAATTCCTGACGGGAGGCGCATCCCGGCTCCGGGGTGACTTTAATTAACACAGCCAAGCACATCCCAGGGTGCTGCCCCTCGGAAGCACCTCGGCTGTTTGAGCCACAAGGAATGGATTCAGCACCATTGGGAAAGCCAAGGATAGGAGATGGAAAAGGGAACAGGACCCTTTCAGTAAATCCTATAAAGTCAAGCGTGTCTGGTAAGGAACTGGCTCTGCACCACCTTTACTGGACTGTCCCGTTCTCACAGTTGGTTTGGTTTATCCCAGAATGGTTTGGGTGGGAAGGGACCTTAAAGCTCATCCATTCCACCCCCTGCCATGGGCAGGGACACCTTCCACCAGCCCAGGTTGCTCCAAGCCCCGTCCAACCTG